TTATCATGATCATGATAGAAACTATTATTAGTAAATGATCACTATGTGCCAGGCACTATGTTGTAAGTTTTTAATACATACTTTTAAAATTTAACCTGCTTATAGCCTGTGAGGTAGGTACTATTATTTATATTTAATAGTCAAAAAAAAACCACTAAAATTTAGAAAGCTTTAGAAATCTGGTCAAGATTATACAGCCAGAAAATAGTACAGATGGTATTAAAACCAGTTATATTCTGATCACTATCAAATCTGCCATCTTTCTGAAAGGAAAATAAGCAGTGGATATATTGATAATCTTGGGAGGTACAAACAACTCTTACAGCTGGAAATGGGCAACCAGTTTGTAAAACCACAAGCTGTCTGGGCTTGTCAAATAATTCCAGGCAAGAAAATGGCACTAATTTTAACTCTTATTGTTCAGTGACTGCACAGGCACATAGACAATTTGAGATGAATAAGAATGAAAATTTATTCAGGGGGGAAAAAAAAGAAAAGTTTATTCAGGAAAACAGATACCATTTGTATTAGTTATCTATTTCTGCATAATTCTTCCACCCCACACATACAAAAACTTAGTGGCTTATAACAGCGATAATTATTATCTGTCACGGTTTCTGTGGATCAGGAATTTGGGGATGGCTTAACTGGGAAATTCTAGCTTGGGGTCTCTCAGGAGGTTGTGGTCAGATGTTGGCTGGGATTTAAGTCACGTGACGACTTGCCTGGACCTGAGGGTCCACTCCAAAGCAGCTCACTCCCAAGCTGGTTGTTGGGAGGTCTCAGTTCTTCATCAGATGTTTCTCACATCTCTCCAGAGGACTGTTTGAGTGTCCATGTGGCTTGACAACTGGCTTTCCCCAGAGCAAGACTTCCAAACAGCCAAGTGCATTTAGGATGCAGCCTCAGAAGTCACACACCAACTCTTCCACCTTATTCTGTGGGTTACGCCAGGCCATCCCTGATTCAGTGTGGGAAGGGACTCCACAAAGTCATGAATACCAGGAAGAAGAAATAATTGGGGCCCATTTTGGAGGCTGGCTACCACACTCCTGAATCTACTCCAAGTACTACAGCCTTAAAACAGGTCATGTGAGGCTTTTCAGTGTGTCTGTGGGTCTAGGGAGCAAAGGTCAAAGGGGCCTTTTGTGAGATTCCAGCCCATATCACCAACATAAGAGGTTCTGGAGTGCTCACTAGGAAGCTGCTTCAAATATCAGAAAACTTCAGGAAGTTCCTACATCTATCTCAACAACTCTGAAGTGAGGGATTCTCTGGAGGCCACCACTGGCTATCTCAGCTGCCTACAGTACCAAAGGGTCATTCACAAGAGAGTACCCCAAGCTGCTGAGAACCTTACATCTGCCTTCTGCCTCTGTCTGCAAGTGCTTCCAGAAAGTGTGGCCTCTCCCACTCCTCTGCCTTCCAAATGTCAGAAACATACCTCTCATTGACCGACACTAACCTGGCATCACAGAGAAAGGGACTCTGGGAAATATCATCCCTGGCCTCTCCTCGGTGCTGCAGGAAGTCCATGGAGGCAGATGGTGGTGATGCTGAGCTGAGCACAGGTAATCCAGCTCAGACTTGGGGACTTTTCAGCCAATGAAATGTGCAAGGTGCTATGCATTTTGGTTTGAAATTCTCCCCTCTCCAAAGATAGCAATAAGCTGCAAAGAAAGAAAAATTAAGTAAGATACAGCATGCTCACAAAGAAAGTAAATATTTCCATGAATGAGATAGTAATGAATATGGGCTGGAGCCATGAAGCTATAGCTATCCAGAAGTGGATGGATGGGGTCAGAATTCTACTCCTATAGAGATTTCAAGTCCTGAAGGGTGATGGGAACTCAGAGCACCCTGTGTCTGACAAGAGACCAGAGTTGTGCTCACTCCTTGGAAGATTACTAAAAGCTGAGGCCACCGGCGAAGGCTGGGGCTAGGGCTTGTTGAAGTGGTGTCCCTTTGGCCCTATTCCAAATGAATGTCACCCCTCCCTAGCCTGAAGAAGAGAAAAGCCTTGCATGTATAATCTCCTCACTGGAATCCACCACTTCCTTATGTTAGCTTCATCTTTTTAACTCCTTCCTAAATTATTTTATTAGATTTATCAACATTTTACTGATTTTGCTCTTTG